ACATGGAATTAATTTCTTTCAGTATTTGAAGACACAAGACCATCTAAATATTGCTTCCCTTTGCATTGCCATATGAATTAATTTTTTTTAGTAGATGAAGATGCAAGCCATTTAAATATTGAAAAACGATAAAAAAAAAAAAAAAGTCCAACAAAAAGAAAATGAAGAGACAAGTGTCAACTATTTAAACTCTTTACAAGAGACTAAATTAGAATTAATATGACCAATCTAAATGAGACTTCAAAACCAATAATTTAAGCAACCAAATGTGATCTAAGTAAAATAGATGACAAAAAGTTAAATCCATTATATATCTCAAAAATAAATAAATAAGACTTCAAATTTTAGTCAAATAATATAATGACTATTGCAACTTAATATATTCCAAAATTTAATGTGAACCACTAAAAAATTAGAAGAAGAACCAAGATAAAACAAAAATGACAAGATTTAAGGTTATACAATCAAAATAGTTTCAAACTTTAATTAATTGAAAGAGTTTTAAAACTTAAATTTACAATATATAAGAGCTCAATTTTTCAAATTGGAATACACAGAAAGTGCAGTTTGAATTATAAAAATGCACAATTACCTTGAAGAAAAAAAAAATTTCGTGCAATATAGATTCAAAAAGATATTTTCTAATATATAATACAATATCCTTTGACATTTTTGTCCTCTAATTTAATTAACAAATAGAATTTACATTTTTAAAAAATAACTTTATCATAAAAATATAGACAAAGAAGACTACATAATATAAATATAAAATAAAAAAATTAAATCCCATATACTCATGCGCTAAAATAACTAGAAAATAAATAAATAAAAATAATATTTAGTTTTATTTGTTATTTGATTATAATTCTAAAGAAATTGAAATGAAAGATTTGAAGAAATTTAATTATAGTCTTATTTAACTTTAACTCTATAATTTAGAAAAAAGAAAATATCGTATAAATTATTAATTAAGATAATAATAAAAAAAAAACAAATTTTCTTAGATTATGAGACTATGATTAATAATGAATGTTTTATAAATTTT